TAAACAAGTTTCAACTTGGTTTCAAGTAGATCATACCTGTTTAACCATCGACAAGGTAAATCCACAACTTTGTCCAAATTCGGCGCCATTTTGTCATCCCATGTCGCTTGTTAACAAGTCAGCCTTGTTACTCTTCCATCCAAGCCATTTCCATTCCACTAATAATAAATTTAACCCTTTATAACAGGAGGAAACTAAAAATCTAAACAAAATATAAGAAATACGCCATTTTATCACCATGTAAAATTTTGCTCACGAGTCTTTCAAAACATTCCGTACAAATCTCGCGTGGTTTAGCAACAGGGACGTGACAGGGGGGGGTAGAGACTTGAAAAATGAAAGGAAAGCCCATACAGTATGGTAAAACCAATAATCAACATTTAATTTGTATGACTTTCTCATATTAATAAATAATAATATGTATATATTTGTCGCTACAAGAAATAAAACAAACATTTGTATAATTGTATTTAGCTTTTAGTCTATTTCACGCAGCCTTTTCTTATATCTTCGTGAAATAATTCACCCCCTCCTGTCACGTCCCTGTTACTTTGTCACGCGATATTTGTACGGAATGTTTTGAAAGACTCGTGAGCAAAATTTTACATGGTGATAAAATTGCGTATTTCTTATATTTTGTTTAGATTTTTTAGTTTCCTCCTGTTATAAAGGGTTAAATTTATTATTAGTGGAATGGAAATGGCTTGGATGGAAGAGTAACAAGGCTGAATTGTTAACAAGCGACATGGGATGACAAAATGGCGCCGAATTTGGACAAAGTTGTGGATTTACCTTGTCGATGGTTAAACAGGTATGATCTACTTGAAACCAAGTTGAAACTTGTTTAAAATGTTCTTGATACCATTATGTCTGAGATGATTTACATTTTTTGTAGGATGTCGACGAGATCGCCGATAAACAGCGGAGTAAAGTGGAGAACTTGGCCAAATACGTCCATTTGCAGGAGGTAGGCACATTTCAAATTATTATTTCGGTCAGAAAATATTAACTATTTACACCAAACCAGTGATAATATATTTAAATAAGTACCATTTATGTTTCTATCAAAAAGATTTAGGGAAAAAGGTAATGTAAGTCCACTGCTGTTTATCTGAATTTGCAAGCCACAAATTGACGTTTAACTATGATTATTGCATGGCCATTTTCTTGTGAAATATTAGTGCTTGGCATTTCACACTTACCAATGACCACCCCCAAAAGTACCATCTCTGAACCATATAAGCACCTCAGAATAGCCAAAGCTTTTATGGTTTGGTAGATAGCAGTATGGCGAAAGCGTCGTTTTTGGGTGTGGTCAGTTTCGGACGTTTCGCCCCGGATTGGGGTTCGGGCAGCGTTACCATGTTGACCGTCATGGTCAACTTACCCTAAAACAGTTGAGATTATCTGTCCTAAATGAAATGCATACAAACTCATATACAGGTCCTAGACTATAGTCAAAGAGGAGTTCTTTGATCGAGGGAAGGATTTATTCGAGGAAACTTGCATCAAGATTACCACTGATGGTCATAAAATACTTGGTGCTGCCTGCGGTAAACGTTCTTTTGTGGACGAATATGTAGCTGATAAGACAGACGAGTGGGAAGAAGAAATTGGGATGTTATTTAAAATAGCTGAAACGTATCCACATGCTGCATATACCGCATTTACTCGTGCTATTGTATGAAAATGGCAATATCTTATGCGAACGATTGATGGTATCGGTAGCATGTTTCAACCGTTGGAGAACGTTATTTTGGCCAAACTTATTCCGGCTTTAAAGGGCAGAGGACCTTGTTCCAGCGTAGAAAGAACAATACTCTCTTTGCCAACGCGCCATGGTGGGCTCAACCTTGATAATCCTGTTGAAGTCGCGAATAGTCATTATAACGCATCATTAAAGATTACTGAACCTCTGAAGAAGATGATCGTTAGCCAAACGACAACTTATAAGAAAATTTATCTACACGATATAAAAGCCGTTCTGCGAAAGCAAAAGAACCAGTACCACCAACAACTAGCCACGGAGGTCAGAGAAAGCTTCTCTCCAATAAAGCAACGGACTTTGGATTTGTTGGAGCTGAAAGGTTCATAATCATGGTTATCTGCCCTACCACTGAAAGTCCAAGGCTTCAGTCTAAAGAAGCGCGAGTTTCGTGATGCTTTGAGCCTCTGGTACGGATGGCAACTGAAAAATCTTCCCCAATATTGCATATGTGGAACTAGTTTTTCGACCGATCATGCCATGATATGCCCACACGGAGGAATGACTATATTTCGTCATAATTAAAAACCGTGATCTTATCGCTGATTGGATGAGTGAAGTGTGCAGAGAGACGGAAACCGAACCACCATTGCAGCCCTTATCTGGAGAGATTATCCTTCCCCGTTCCGCGAATAAACGAGAAGATGCCCGGGTCGATATTAAAACTATCGGACTTTGGGGACGGCAGCAAAGCGCATTTTTTGATGTTAGGGTTTTTCACCCCAACGCGCCAAGCTACCGTGACAAAAGTGTTGCAGCTTTATTCCGGAAACATGAACTAGATAAAAAGAGAGAATATGGTGATCGGATAAGGGAAGTTGAAAATGGTTCCTTTACACCACTGGTCTTTTCAACAACAGGAGGTGCCAGCGGAGAAACAACAGTGGTTTATAAAAGATTAGCGGAACTTTTGGCCAACAAACGGAAATCTCCTTACAATACCACATTAGCCTGGATGCGATGTCACATATCATTTGCTTTAATGAAATCAACTATATCCTGTATAAGAGGATCAAGAGTGCGTCGGCGCCGTCATACGGACATGGGAGTTTGCTGAAAGTAATTTAATTATTAACCCTTGAACTTGGAATTTCATAACTACAATCCTTCACAAAACTTATTGAGACTTGCATATTTATCTGTAAAATTAGCAAATTCTTACCCTCAGGAGCTCGTCCTTCCTTCACCTGCCTCCCCCCTTCAAAACAATGTTGACTGCTATTGGAAGCATTGTGCTACACAATTTCAACTCAATCACGAGCAATATTGCTCTGTAGGGGGGAGGGGAGAGGAAATTATACCTTCACACGGGTAGTCTCATAGTTTTTGTGAAGGATTGTCCAAATTTAAGAGAAATTGGGAAAGAGTACTCGGTCTTCTTTATTTTTTTACATTATGTTCTTTTGTGCATTTAGCATAGTATACAAGTAACGTATGAAAAACAAACAGTTTGGGTTTGTAAGAAACTGGAGTTAAGGGGGGGGGGGGGG